GGTTGCTCTCACTTTAGTAGATATATCCTACCCTAGACATGGCAAGGTGTGGCATAATGGTAGATTTTATTGCCCCCCCCCCCTCCAACCCCATTAGTTATTTTGGGTCATGATGACTCCATGTACTTGTTTGCTCTTTTTTTTGCTTTTTACAGTGGCAAGTAACAAAACTTTGCTAGATGCCACATTATCAGTCCTCTCATTGCTGTTTTTTTTTACTTTTTAGTCATTGGGTAGTAGCAGTGCCAGTTGGCAAATAGTTCATTTTAAGCATCAGTATCCAGATTTCATCCTTTTGGTCATTACAAGCTTAAATCTGAACAAAATTATATTTCATTCAGATTCAGTATGGCAAACTTGGGACATTGTTCCGATGTGAATAACATCCGGATTTTGCTGTCCAAATGCTCCCAAATGGATTTTGTAAATGTGAACCAGGGGGAATACAACTTTAGTAAATTGCCTTGTTAGTCACTTTAAATGTATAGAAATATAAATTGGTCCTTAAAGACAAAAAAAACCTCAATAAAATTGAACAAACATACTGTGATTTTAATGTCCAAGTGCTTGGTATAAAATTTAATGTACTGTGGAGTACACACAGACACAATCAACATAGTGTTCATCTCAGGGGATAGTAAGCCCATATAGACAGACATTTAGATGTTTAGTTCCAGCAGATCATTAAACCAGAAGTATGAAATGAGAATTGATAAAGCAATACAGTGAAGTTTTTTTTTTTTCATACAAAACTATAGATTGTTTACATTAAGGCATTTAAACAGAAAAACAGAAATACAGATAAATTGACATTGCTCTGACATTCCAAAATAGCTCTGCCTCGCTTTTCGGCTGTGTATTATTTTTTCCCTTCAATGAGATTATTCATAGTTGGATGTTCGGGTCCAGCGGGTTTGGCCGAACTTTGAAAAAAAGTCCGGGTTCGGGCTCGAACTTGACCCCGAACCCCTTTGAAGTCAATGGGGACCTGAACTTTTGGCCACAAAAATTACTCTAAAAACTCCTGGAAAGGGCTAGAGAGCTGCAAAAGGAAGTAAAATGGGGGTAAGAGTAGGACAAGTGCCCTGCAAACAAATGTGGATAGGGAAATCACTTAAAATAACATAAAAATTAAAAATACAGCTGAGCCATAAATTAGCACTAGATGGAATCTTTGATTTTAGCTTTGGAAGATCATAAATCAAAATCTAAAGCATGGCTGTCAGGAGGATCACCAGAATTATCCATTTGAGAGAAGGTTGGAGTGTAGGGTCAGGGCCGCCACCAGAAATTTTGGGGCCCCTGACAAAGCACAAGGTCTGGGTCCCCCCCACCTGGCCCGCCCATGAGTCCACCCACAGGACTCCTACCTAGTCCGCTGACAATGATGCAGGACTGAATGTGGTGTGTATAGTGGAAGTGAATTACAATGTGTGTAATAGATACTGTTTGTGCAGTGAATGCAGAGTGTGTGTGTTAGTGTAATGAATGCAGTGTGTGTTAGTGCAGTGAATACAGTGTGTGTTAGTGTAATGAATGCAGAGTGTGTGTCAGTGTAATGAATGCAGAGTGTGTGTCAGTGTAGTAAATGCAGAGTGTGTCAGTGTAGTGAATGCAGAGTGTGTTAGTGTAATGAATGCAGAGTGTGTTAGTGTAATGAATGCAGGGTGTGTGTTAGTGCAGTGAATAGAGTGTGTGTGTCAGTGTAGTGAATGCAGAGTGTGTGAGTGCAATGAATGCATTGTGTGTGTGAGTGCAGTGAATTCATTGTGTGTTAGTGCAGTGAATGCAGAGTGTTAGTGCAGTGAATGCAGAGTGTGTGTTAGTGCAGTGAATGCAGTGTGTGAGTTAGTGCAATGAATGCAGAGTGTGTGTTAGTGCAGTGAATGCAGTGTGTGTGTTAGTGTAGTGAATGCAGAGTGTGTGTCAGTGTAGTGAATGCATAGTGAATGCAGAGTGTGTTAGTGCAGTGAATGCAGAGTGTGTGTTAGTGCAGTGAATGCAGTGTGTGTTAGTGCAGTGAATACAGTGTATGTTAGTGTAATGAATGCAGAGTGTGTGTCAGTGTAATTAATGCATAGTGTGTGTCAGTGTAGTGAATGCAGTGTGTGTTAGTGTAATGAATGCAGTGTGTGTGTTAGTGCAGTGAATGCAGTGTGTGTGTTAGTGTAATGAATGCAGAGTGTGTTAGTGCAGTGAATGCAGAGTGTGTGTTAGTGCAGTGAATGCAGTGTGTGTGTGTTAGTGTAATGAATGCAGAGTGTGTGTCAGTGTAATGAATGCATAGTGTGTGTCAGTGTAGTGAATGCAGTGTGTGTTAGTGTAATGAATGCAGTGTGTGTGTTAGTGCAGTGAATGCAGTGTGTGTGATAGTGTAATGAATGCAGAGTGTGTGATAATGCAGTGAATACAGTGTGTGTGTTAGTGCAGTGAATGCAGAGTGTGTGACAGTGTAGTGAATGCAGAGTGTGTGTGTCAGTGTAATGAATGCAGATTGTGTGTTAGTGCAGTGAATGCAGAGTGTGTGTTAGTGCAATGAATGCAGTGTGTGTGCTAGTGTAATGAATGCAGAGTGTGTGTCAGTGTAGTAATTGCAGAGTGTGTCAGTGTAGTGAATGCAGTGTGTGTGTAAGTGTAATGAATGCAGAATGTGTGTCAGTGTAATGAATGCAGAGTGTGTGTCTGTGTAGTGAATGCAGTATGTGTGTTAGTGTAATGAATGCAGAGTGTGTGATAATGCAGTGAATACAGTGTGTGTGTTGGTGAAGTGAATACAGTGTGTGTGTTAGTGCAGTGAATGCAGTGTGTGACAGTGTAGTGAATGCAGAGTGTGTGTCAGTGTAATGAATGCAGATTGTGTGTTAGTGCAGTGAATGCAGAGTGTGTGTTAGTGCAGTGAATGCAGAGTGTGTGTTGGTGCAGTAAATGCAGAATGTGTGACAGTGTAGTAAATGCAGAGTGTGTGTTAGTGCAGTGAATGAAGAGTGTGTGTTAGTGCAATGAATGCAGTGTGTGTGTTAGTGTAATGAATGCAGAGTGTGTGTTAGTGCAGTGAATGCAGTGTGTGTGTGTTAGTGCAGTGAATGCAGAGTGTGTGGCAGTGTAGTAAATGCAGAGTGTGTGTTAGTGCAGTGAATGAAGAGTGTGTGTTAGTGCAATGAATGCAGTGTGTGTGTTAGTGTAATGAATGCAGAGTGTGTGTTAGTGCAGTGAATGCAGTGTGTGTGTTAGTGCAGTGAATGCAGAGTGTGTGACAGTGTAGTGAATGCAGAGTGTGTTAGTGTAATGAATGCAGAGTGTGTTAGTGTAATGAATGCAGGGTGTGTGTTAGTGCAATGAATAGAGTGTGTGTCAGTGTAGTGAATGCAGAGTGTGTGAGTGCAATGAATACATTGTGTGTGTGAGTGCAGTAAATGCATTGTGTGTTAGTGCAGTGAATGCAGAGTGTGTGTTAGTGCAGTGAATGCAGAGTGTGAGTTAGTGCAATGAATGCAGAGTGTGTGTTAGTGTAATGAATGCAGAGTGTGTTAGTACAATGAATGCAGAGTGTGTGTCAGTGTAGTGGATACAGAGTGTGTGTAAGTGTGGTGAATGCAGAGTGTGTGTCAGTGTAGTGATTGCAGAGTGTGTGTCTAGTGAATGCAGAGTGTGTGTCAGTGTAGTGAATGCAGAGTGTGTTTTAGTGTAGTGAATGCAGTGTGTGTGTTAGTGCAGTGAATGCAGTGTGTGTGAGTGTAATGAATGCAGAGTGTGTGTCAGTGTTGTGAATGCAGAGTGTGTGTTAGTGCAGTGAATGCAGTGTGTGTTAGTGTAATGAATGCAGTGTGTGTGTTAGTGTAATGAATGCAGAGTGTGTGTCAGTATAGTGAATGCAGTGTGTGTTAGTGTAGTGAATGCAGTGTGTGTGTTAGTGCAGTGAATGCAGAGTGTGTGTTAGTAAAATGAATGCAGTGTGTGTGTGTTAGTGCAGTGAATGCAGTGTGTGTGTTAGTGTAATGAATGCAGAGTGTGTGTGTGTTTACTAGTGTATGCATGTAATGTAAAATCTGTTTCTCCCCCCTCCCTGCTTCTTACCTGGTTCAGGGAGGGGGGAGATTCCATCCCTGGTGGTCCGGTGACATGGTGGGGCCTGTATTTGCAGAGGATGCCCAGCGGACTGTAGGAGCACTTTACAGCTCTTCCCTCTCTCTAACTCCAGCGAGATGTGATGTGCAGGCCGCGTGGAGTGTTGCCATGGTAACACGTGGCAACGCTCTAACGTCCGTACATCTCGTGGGAGTTAGAGAGAGGGAAGATCTGTAAAGTGCTCCTGCAGTCCGCTTTGCCCCCTCTGCAAGTATAGGGAGCCAGGGGCCCGCGGCTGCACATATATATAGCGATCATCGCTATATATATGTGCAGAGAGTAATGGTGGAGCCCTGGACTGCCAAGTCAGTCCGGGCCCCCCAGAACCACCGGGCCCGTGACAACCATCATGGTTGTCACCCCCTGATGGCTGCCCTGTGCAGGGTATTCTCTTTCATTGTTCAAACTGAGTTCAACTCCTGATGCATGGAGAAAAGGCCTTCACAAGCCTCAGCTATTGTGTACATAGTTTATACTAAGTGACCCATAAGTTGAGGAGGCTGTGACTGTGGCAGTCTAGGTGGAAGCGGCAGTGGAGGAGGAGGAGGAGGTAGCCAACACTGTTTTTTATTAGTTTTTTTTTCTTAATTGGGGTAGCCCCCAAAATATTGGGACATACAAAAAAAGAAACATTTGCGGCCTGCGGTGCATTTCTTGCAGTCCTGATGCATGGAAAAAAGGCCTTCACAAACCTCTGCTATTGTGTACATAGTTTATACTAAGTGATCCATAGGTTGAGGAGGCGGTGCCGTGGTGGTGTAGGTGGAAGCAGCGGTGCAGGAGGAGGATGAGGTAGCCAACACTGTTTTTTATGTTTTTTTTTTTTTTTTATTGTGGTAGCCCACAAAATATTGGGACATATAAAAACAAGATACATTTGCGGCCTGCAGTGCATTTCTTGCAGTCCTGATGCATGGAGAAATGCTCAACTCCTGATGCATGGAGAAAATGCCTTCACAACCCTCTGCTATTGCGTACATAGTTTATACTAAGTGACCCATAGGTTGAGGAGGTGGTGACCGTGGCGGTGTAGGTGGAAGCAGCGGTGGAGGAGGAGGATGAGGTAGCTAACACTGTTTTTTTATATATATATACATGTGACGGTGCATTTGGATGTCATCCATATCAACTTTCAATGCCAGCTTCTGCGCCTACCATGGTGACCACGGGTAAAGGGGAATCAGGGTTCCATTCCGTACAGGGACCCTGAGAAACGGCTACCACATGTAAGGAAGGCACAATATTACAAGTGACCGATTTAGTAAATTCGAATAAAAGTTCCATTTGCCAAAAAAATTCTCGCCCACCTTCTGTGGGTTATTGCATTTTTAAGATGTAGACTTACTGTATCACACTAGCCATGCACAGGTAGATTGTCTGGCACATTGTTTTGGTGTTTGGTTTTTAACTTTGTAGTTGTGTCTTTACACAATATAGAAATGTATATTAATGCTTCTGTATATGAAGCGATCACAATAGCACTTATTTTTCACTTTTTTTAAAAAAAAATCAGGCTACACAAAAATTGGTAATTCACAATATGACATCTGAAAAGCACATGAAAGGATGCTGTAAGATTTAAAAAAAAGAACACACTACATGAAGGTCCTGTTCACTAGAGTGTGTAGTCATGAATGTAACCAGTAAAACTTTGTTTTTACAGCCACTGGTTGGCCCATACATATTTTAAAACTTGTTTAATTTTGTTGTAGCATGATTTGTAGATATGAAGAGCAGGCCCCAAAATGTAGCCCATGGAGCAGCGTAGCTAATGGGAGTGGGCCTTGACATTGCCAGGAGTCAGGCATCTAAGGGTCAGTGGTTGGGGATTGGTTTAAGGAGATGGAGTGGGGTGGAGTTATAAGGGGAGTATAAGTAGCAGCCATTTTAGATCTAGGGATCACTTTAATCTAAGTTGCACTTACCTGTTGTCAGCAAGATGGAAGATTGGCTGGAAGGAGTCCGGGCAGCAGTGCAAGAGAGGGGTGTTGAGTGGCTGAGGGATTGCCTTGGAGATGCTTTGCCATCCAGATCAGGAAGCTCCCATGGTCAGAGGCCGGTCAGGAGGACAAAGCCCCCGCAGAGGCTGAGCCCCAGCACAGTTCCGGGTTCCCGGCATCCAAGGAGCCCTTCTGGAGGTCCCGATGGCGGTGGTGAGACTGCCGTCGGGAAGGCTGCAAGTGGAGGAGGTCGCGGAAGGCATCGCAGTGCAGCCGCACGAACACGTCGTTAGGCGAGGCCGGAGTTGCAGGCTGCTGGTTCTGGAACCGAATCCGAAACTGCCCAACGTTCTGGGAGTGAAAGTGCAGGTAGGAGAGCTGGCGAAAGGGCTGGAACTGCCGAACGTTTGGGAGACGAACGTGGAGGTAGGAGAACTAGCGAATGGGCTGAAACTGCTGAACGTTCGGGAGACGAACGTGGAGGTACTGATACTGCTGACCGTTCATTTTCCGAACGGGGAGGTAAGAAAACTGCCGAACGTTCGGGAGTAGAACGGGGAGGTAGCCATACTGCCGTCCGTTCAACTGCCGAATGGGGAGACAGAAAAACTGTCGAACATTCGGTTTTTGTGTCCTCTCTTACAGGGAATGAAAGAGAGGTGTCTTCTGGGGACAGGAGTTCCGGAAAGCGGCCATTACAGGCAGGGTCCAGTGGAAAAAGAAGGAGCGGTACGGCAGGCTTGGCAGCAGGTCCTGGGAACGCTGGAAGTGCTGTTGGTGGAGCGGGGACAGTTGCTGGGCCACGGGTTATCCCGGTGGTGGGTCCCGGTGTTAGCATGGTTGGTGAAGGCAGGGTGGCAGGAGGCAGGCGGGGGACTGCTAGGGCACGGAATGGACCGGAAGGGTATAGCGATACACGACGCCCCAAAGTCTCCCCAGTCAGCGTGCGAGAGCGCAGCGCTTCCCCAGGGTCTCCCATACGACCAGGCCGGGGAAGACAACAGGCGGGCCAGGTCATCAGGGAAGGATCGGAAGGGAGTGCCAGCGAGGGACAGCGCAGAGGGTCAGCACCCTCCAAGAGGATAGCGCGCAAGGCTCTAGTGAAGGGTGCATAGGGCGCAAGGAGGCAACGTAGCAGCCATCGGAGGGCGACTGACATAGACGACAGGCACCCCTACCGGGTTGATCACACCCGGGGGTGGCTTAGGGTGCCCCCTGTCAGGACGCGTGGCTGGAGGCAGCAGGAAGACAGTTCCATGAGCGCGAGTTCCCCGGAGAGACTGCGGGCAGCTGCGCAAGCTCATGGCCCTCAGGGACAGACGGCTAGTGGGGAGATGGGTTACAGATCCCAGGAAGAGAGGGGACAGGGCAGGGTTTTCACTGCCAGCCTACCCAGAATGTCTTCTCCTTGCAGGTCTCGAAGACGGTCACCCTCGGTGAGGGAGAGATCCCACGCGCTGAGGACATCAGGACGGTCGCCGGGCAGGTAAGGCGGACCCAGTTGCCGGACAGGCGTCGACAATGTGGTCGGCGGATTGGGTGTGACGCAGCGCTGCGGGAGTACGGCCCGGAGCAGTGGAACGCTTGGGGCAGGACATCCATAGTCGGTCGGCAACCCCACGGCCTTCGGTGGCAAGGGGTGCGGAAGGTGAGACATTGTCGTTGCAGCAGTCAGGTGAGCTTTTAGATGGCATCAAGCAGCTAATTGATTCTTGGGGTGTAGGGAAAAGGAGGGGCAGGGATTGCAGTCAGGTTTGGGCTCAGCTGGGGGAGGTCACTAGGTCGAGTCCAGTGGTGGTTTTGGAGGCCGGGGGCAGCACGGTTGGGGACGGGTTACGACACCCGCGGTGGAGGCGCCCGGATTGGCGAGCAAGAGGGACAATTTACTTGGGGGTGTCCTGGAGGCCGTGCGGCAGAATGTACATATTTCTTTCGCGTTGCGATGTCATCTAAAACTTGAGGTGAAGTAAAGGATCTGGAAGGGGGAGTTCGTGGAGCTCTTTTCGCTTCTCCCCCTTGAGGACTACATTGACCTCAAGGAGGAGGATAAAAAGGATGCTAAAAAGGAGGAGGAGGAAAAGAAACAGCGGTATAGGAAGATCTGGATGGAATTTGGGAAGTGTATCGCACGTACGGGGGTCTGGCATGGTGGCGCTATGACGAGCAGTTTTGTCAGCGCCTGGCTGCTAATCCGGTGATGCGGTGGGACCAGATGGACCTACCACTCTGAATAAAACTTATGATGGCGCAGAAGGCGTCTCCCTTTCAGCCGGGGGCCGCCATGGGCGTTTCCACCGCCGTGTCGGCCAACCAAAAACAGGGCTATTGTTGGCTATATAACGAGGGACAGTGCAATTGGGGGGCCACGTGGCGCTTCAAGCACGAGTGCTCCGGGTGTGGAGGCACCCACGGACTCCACAGGTGCTTTAAAAAAGGTAAGTCGGCTCCCGCACCGGGGGTGCCTGGAGGTTTGGCCACGTCCACTGCAACTGGGGGACAACGCCAGTGAAGGTCGGCGTGATGCTACCATGGCTAAGCCGCTACGCTAACCAGGAGGATGCGTTGTTGCTCGAGGAGGGGTTTACTAAAGGGTTCATGATCCCGTTTCAGGAACGTGTGGTGGTTCATCGTCTTCGAAACCTGTCAGTGGGGGAATTTCCGGGGGTGGTTAGGGAGAAGTTGCTTAAGGAGATCCAGTTGGGCAGGGTGGTGGGACCGTTCAGGGAGCCCCCTCTACCTAACTTGAGGGTATCACCACTGGGGGTGGTACCCAAGAAGGAGCCGGGTAAGTACCGCCTGATATATCACCTGTCCTACCCCAAGGGGTCATCGGTTAACGATGACATTGACAAGGCCCTTTGTTCAGTGTCATACGCTTCATTCGACCAGGTGGTGAATCTGGTGCAACAAGCAGGCCGTGGGGCATTGTTGGCAAAGGCGGACGTGGAGGCGGCTTTTCGCCTTTTGCCAATTCACCCGAAGTGCCATCACTTGCTGGGATGTCACTTCGACGGTGAGTATTATGTGGATCTATGTTTGCCCATGGGGTGCTCTATATCGTTTCTGGACTGGGTGGTGAAACTGGAAGCGGGCACTAAGATGGTGGTTCATTACCTGCATGATTTCCTATGTGTCCGGCCTCCCGGATTGGAGGAATGCCGCATGGGATTGAGGACATTGGAATGGGTGGCGCATGTTTTTGGAGTCCCCTTGGCGAGTGACAAAATGGTGGGGCCTACGACATGCTTGAGTTTCTTGGGCTTGGAGATTGACTCTATCAAAGGGGAGTGTAGGCTGCCACAGGACAAGTTGCTGGCACTCCAGAAGGCAGTGGGAGAGGTGCGGGGAGCTTAAAAGGTCACGTTCCGGGCGCTTCAGTCACTGCTGGCTCGACAAAACTTCGCCTGTCATGTGATTCCGGTCGGGAGGGTCTTTAACAGGTTCCTAGCTAGGGCGACGGGGGGAGTGGTGTTCTCGCACCACCTTATTCGGGTCTCAGCAGCTATGAAGGCCGATCTGGACGTCTGGGGGGGATTCTTACGGGATTTTAATGGGAAGGTGTTCTTTCGGGAGCCGGCGGCGTCTTCCCCGTATCTGGAGATGTTCACAGAGTATCGGTTTTCGGGGCTTACTTCTCGGGTCAATGGTGCGCGGGAACTTGGCCAGCGGTGTGGAAGGCCAGCCCGCTGATACACAACTTGGCATTCCTGGAGTTGTTCCTGTTAGTCGTAGCACTGTCACTATGGGGTCCACAGTTAAGGGATAAGAAGGTTGGATGGTGCCCTTTGGTGGCAATGGTCATGTTTCAATGTTAAGTTAAATGTTACAATGTTTGGGTATTATGTTATGTGGGAGTAGGTCATTGTCAGGGGGTTTAAATTGTAAAATGAAGGATGGTAATTGTGCAGGCCAATGTTGGCCTGCTGTTGACAATCACCTTTATATTTTATGTTAACATTCAATAATGCTGTGATATACATTTTGCCAAAAAAACATGGTGTCAGTGTTTTATTGGAAATGGGTATTGGTGGGATTATGCATATGCCGACAAGGCGACCGTGCACATGTCATGTACTATTTAGCAGATTAGCACCCAGAAAATAAGAATGTTTACCACTGCACTGTAAGCGCACTATTTGATGCTTCGATTTGACTCTCAGATATGAAGTGCAGTCCGCAAATGTACTATTTAGCAGATTAGCACCAAGAAAATAAGAATGTTTACCACTGCGCTGTAAGCACACTATTAGACGCTTTGATTTGACTCTCAGATATGAAGTGCATTCCGCAAATGTGCT